CAGTTGGGATTCGTCACAGGACTTGTTTCGAGGGAAAAAATCAATTGTTGTTGAGAGGATTTTATTAAGAGCTACCAAAGGTAGCTTGATACTTAAGAATACTGTATTCATAATCCAGTTACAAGTCATGTATTAGAAGAGAGGGTTTACGCACAACACTTAAATTCGTTTGAGACCCGATTACCTATGGTGATTGGAGGGTCATACACCTTCGTAGCACCAAGTAGTGTATTTCGCTCATATTTTAGACACCATCTAAATTTGATATTTAACTAATTCCTATCAGTTTTAGAGTGTTATAATGTGCATTTTGATATTGTGATATAGGTTGATGAAATTGAAGGAAATAAGCAAAAGTAGGCAAATATGGAAAATGGGCTAAATTGTAAGAGATCCAAAGTTTGGGGACTAAAGTACAAATACTCAAAAGTTTCATCGAACCTCACAATGAAGATTTGAGAGTACTAGAAGTCAATTGGATAAAAAAATTCAAAGGGGTAAAATATAGTCAAAATATGATCACACATCAATTTTCAATTGAAAAAGTTATACTCTGGACTTTTAGTCTCATATTGAGACCCAATTTTGACATAGTAAACATTCGAATTGAAAAATGATATCTGAAACAAAGTTGTATCCTTTTGAGTTAGCTTTTTAATGCATCTTGAATCGCCTCAATTGAATATCGGTAGAAAAAGTTATAATAAAAATACTAAAAGATGTAAAGTGTTATTTTTCCGCCTGAAATGGGTGCTGCAGTCAACAGTGCGGCACCGCCGTGCGAGGATAAAAAGAATTTTGAATTTTTTGGATTCTTTTCTCGACTTAATACAACCTTAACTCTTCTAAGACTTCAAAATACTATAAATACAAATCTAAGTATCACAATTCAAGGGAAAATTCAACCAAACAATTCACAGGGGCAAGATTTAAGAAATCAAAGGGAGGCAAGAACGATATCAAAAAAAACAGATTGAAGATATAGCCCAAAAACTAGTTTTCTATTCGCTTCTCTATGTTGTTTACTTCAAATAATATAGATTTCATGTTTTTTATCATGAACTAATTTATTCCTTTAGGGTTTGATTAGCCAAAACTTGAGAGTATGATTAAAATTTATTTTAGTTATTTCCATGAAATTTTTCATTCCGTTT